ATCAGTGGGTCTTTTGGTTTATTTTTAGCACTTCCTTACTTTCTGGTATTACCAGTTCCTCCAAGTTCATCTTGAGTATTTCTTGCCCCAGTCCTAGAACCAGCCATTTTTCCAAGGTGCTCTGATTCCTTTTATTGGAAGACATTAAAAACCAAGATCTGGGTGCTAAGTTGTGTTCATTGCTATGGGAGTGCAAACTTACACTTAAAACTTTTACTGTGATAACACATACGTAAAATTACCACTTTAGCGATCTCTGAGTGGACAGTGCAGTGGCATTAAGTACATTCACAATGTTCTGTAACCATCACCACCCACTCCCAGAACTTTTTCATCAGCCCAAACTGAACCTTTCTATTCATAAAACAGTTCCCCTTGCTCCAACCCTCAGCCCCTGGTAACGACCATTCTACTTTCTGTCTCTGTGAACTTCACTCTTCTAGGTCACTCATATAAATGGAATCATAAACTATTTGTTCTTTTGTGTCTGGTTTATTTTACTTACCATATCTTCCAGGTTCATCCAAGTTGCAATTATCAGAATTTCCCTCCTATTTAACAGTATTCCACACACACTTTTAAATATGAAATTTTAAACTATAGATGCTGCTCACTTTTTTTCTAGCAGCTTGCCCTTCACCCCAAATTTAACTTTCCTTCCTCAAAATATAGAACTAATATATCACTATCTTAAGGTATTCAGTTCCTGAGTTTGGATGGGAGTTCAAATAGCAAGAGTACAAAAACCCCATTATCTGAATCTACCTGATTCTTGAGTTTTGGATAACAAACACCAGAAGTTCAAAACCTAAGGAATGCTTGCTGTTGTTTAGTTGCCAAGTCTGACTTTTTTTGCAAACCCATGGACTATAGTCTGCCAGGTCCTCTATTCATGGGGTTTCCCAAGCAAGAATACCTGAGTGTGTTGCCATTTCCTTCTCCAAATACTGCTCATTAAAAAAAAAAAAAAGTCTTCACGGAATTGTTACAATATTGTTTCTGCTTTGTTTTGGCCATGAGGCACGTGACATCTTAGCTCCCTGACCAGGGATGGAAACCGCATCCCTGCGCTGAAAGGTGAAGTCTTAACCACTGGACTGCCAGGCGAGTGCCCTGATCGTTTTGTTTTTTTTTTTACTCAATACATTTTATTAGCATATTTTAAGAAAATGTACTATAAAGAAAGCTATAGACATTCAGAGCCTATGCTTCACCTACATAATAAAGATTAAAAAAATACTAAGTAACAGTAATACATCCTAATTTGTCGGTGATTGGCTTACCTTCTAAGAATAAGAGTGGAATCAAAATGAGATCAACTGTTGGCAGATATGACCCACTTGTAGGAATTAATGAGTGGCTGAAGAAATCACTGAGACATTCATCAAGAAAAGCACAACTGTATCAAGACATTTCAAGTTGTACCACAAGTCGTAATCTTCTAGAATATATTAACCTAACAAAAAACCTATACTCTGAACCACACATCTATCGGTTCTATACAGATTTACTGATTTCAAGGCCCTCCCTTCCCCCTCCCACGCCCAGGTTTTAAATCTAGTCTTCTTAACCGTAAAGGCAGGGGTCCTAAAAGAACCGTTTGGGAACTTGCCAAAAAAAAAAAAAAAAAAGCAAATTTTCAGAGATCCTTCAATTCATAGATCGCTACGGGCGCCAGGGAAAGGCATTGAAACCAGCTCCCAAGCGATTCTTAAAGTCTCCAAACTCACTTTCTTTTTAAAACTTAATTATTTAATTGGAGGATAATTGCTTTACAATATTGTTAGAAAAACTCTGGCAAAAAATACAACGTTTCCTTGTGAACCGGCACACGCATTTTCTGAGGGGGGAGAAAAACCGTAACATGAATCGAATTCTCAAAGTGGGTCTAAGAACTAAAATTCTGCTCTGAAACATCTCCTCGTACGGAAATTCAGCGGCTCCCAGTTAACTAGCTACACTTTCGTTAGTTGTTCAATTCAGCATTTTTTAATCTTCATGAAAAATTTTTAGAAAGGAGGAAACTTCACTCTCTTTGGAGACGATACGCCTTTGATGCTCAATGCCTGTGATTAAATTTCCTACAATAAAAGCAAAGACGGAAATAGGGCCTGTGTCGAATCTGCTGCTTCAGATGTTAAGGTTCGGTCGGTCTAAGAAGAATCTTCCGTCGCGAAGAGCTCGGCACAGGTCTCGGCGGGAAAGGAAGCCCGAGCTTTGCTGAGGTGAGAGGGAGCAGCTAGGTGGAGTAGGGCCCACCCTGGCGAGAAGGACGAAGGGAATCTGCCTGGATCGTGTGTCGGCTCGAGCGTGGGCCGCCATGTTGAAACCTGGCAAGGCGGTGGCGGGGAACCTCTTGGGGTTGTGTTGTGGGGAGCGGGGGCGATAGCTGAGTTAGTCTTTCCTCCTGTGCGCACTCAAATGACGGGCTGGCGGAGGTAGCCTCTAGGGCCGGCGGCCAAGACGAACGTGCTGCAGGACTGACTGGAAGTATAAGCTTTTTCACCGAAACTTCCGCCTTAGCGTTCAGCTCCCCACTACGCATGCTCTGACGTCTCAGTGAGCCAGCCTTCAATTTGTTTCCCACCTGGTGGGAACCGTGGGTAGTTTCGTTCTGCAAGTTCAGCCTGGGGAGGCGTTCGTTGTTTATTTGCTTGCTTAAGAATAGATTTTACTTGCATAATAATTTGTAATTATAAAGCGCTTTCAAAGACACTACCTTATCTCATCTTCATATAAAACGCGGTGAAGAGGCATTTAGCAGCATTTAACAAATGATTTAAATTTTGCCCAAGAGAGCACTAGGTCTTAAACCTGGGTTTTCTGACTTCCAATCCAGAGCTTTTTCAGTGTGCATACTTGTGTTTTTAATGGCTAATTGCCCAGCCCACCTCCACCTCACACGATTCATCTCACATCCCATTCCCCTTTATGAAGTAATGACTGAGAATTGAAAAAGCCAGAGAGAGTCTAATTTCCTATTTGTAGAAAATCTCAACGTAATGTTACAACGGAGGAAATACACCTAGAAAGATAAATGAGAACCCGTGAAGTCCGCTGTTCGCTTGGTATTTAGTATTGATAGGAACATGCAGATGAGGGAGAAAACAAAATTCATCTTTTATACCTTTGTAATTCTCTCCAATTTTAATTTGAAGAATTCTTACAGCTTTGAACAGCTCTGACTGTGTACCATAATGTCAGGTTCATTTGGTGGATCTTTGCAACCTTTTCCTGTGAAATGGGGTCCGGGTCAGCCTTCAACACCCAGGCCTAGCCTGTTTTATCCTATCCCCATTTCAAGCTTTATATTTTATGATAGCCATCTAAGGAAATAGTTAAGAGCTCAAGCTCTGGAATCAAAAAAGCCCCTGGTCCTAACTCCACAGCTGGGCTATTTCTGTGATTTGGGACAAAAGATAACCTTTTTGCATTTCACTTTCCACATCTGAAATGGCAATAGAAGTACATGTCCTGTTATTGTTGAGAGGTGAAGGGAGATAAGTGCTTAGCACAGTGCCTGACACCTCCTAAGTGTTCTATACAAGATAACTATAATTATTACGGTGGTGTTGTTTTTTTCCTCTGCAACCTTGTGATGGAGGCAGGAAGTAAGATTAGAATTTTAAGAATTTTAGGGCCATTTAGAGAATACCAGAGCAGAGATCAATGCAACAAGGTAACTGATGGGACTTCCCTGGTGGTCCAGTGGTTTAAGACTGCTGCCCTTTCAGGGGGGTGCAGCTTCAATCTGTCCTTGGGGAACTAAGATCTTGCATGCCAGGAGGCAAAAAAAAAAAAAAGATAGCCAATGAAGATCACCAGATATATTCAAAACAGCCCTGATTTTTAAGTAACATATTTCAGCATTGGCTCTAAAGCTTCACAGAGGTGGTCACATTATTAGCAGGATCTGATTTATTCCGGCAGATTCACATAAGTCAGTTATCGTGTGTCAGACTTAACCTTACCTACACTCTTAGAGAGAGAGAGAGATCTTGTTATCAGAATGAATGGATGACTGTGTGCTTGCTGGACTCAAATTACCATTGCAGTCAATAAAGCATAAATGGATTATCAGCTAGGGAACTGAGAAGAAACCCCATCATCCTTTTGAACTGAAGAGCCTGAGGCTGGGTCACTGTCATTTTGACTTTGCTACCTGTTTATTGCATTCAGACCACCATTTTCCCTTGTAGCTTTGTTTTTTTTCTTTTTTTTTTTAAAGTCCTTATCCTAAAAAAAAAAATTAAAAACAAAAAGTCCTTATCCTTTAGTAATGCACACTGAGATATTTACAGATGAATGATGTAATATCTTGAATTAGGTTCAGAATAATCTGGGAGGGAGATGTGAGTAGGGGGCACTGATGAAATAAGATGGGTCAGGTGTGGGTCATAGTTGGAGCCGGGTGAGAAATTCATGGAGGGTTATGCCATTGTTTATGTTAGTCTGTGTTTGAAATTTGTGGTAGTCAGAGGTTTTTGTTTTTTTTTTTTTAATTATTATTGGCCACTCTGCTTACAGGGAGGATCTTAGTTCCCTGACCAGGGATTGAACCCCTACCCTGACAGTCCTAACCACTGGACCACTTGTAAAGAGTTTCTTAAAACCCCCTTTTCCATAGAAGTTCCCAGCCTGGTTTTCTTAGGACCGTTTTACAGTTTCTGAAAGGCAAGCCTGGATTTTGATCCATATTGCCACATTGAAAGAGTTTGTACATGCCGTACTATGGCTAAACTGGATAATAAATGTATGCCTCAGACCCCGGCATGTTGTCTTCCCTGGAGGGAGGGTGGGGGGGGGTGGGTGAGAGCACCCTGGAGGCCCACTGCTGTGATCCTGTCTCCCCTACTTTCTAACTGGGAGGCCTCAGCCTTTGCTTCCTTCCCTGTTGGAAGAAGGGATTTAAAATAGTATCCACTTAAGGGGTTGTTGGAAGGACTGAAGGCGGAGTCATAGTAGGTGCTACATAAGCGTGCTGTGCCCCTCCTTAGAACATGAATGATTGGATGCCCATTGCCAAGGAGTATGACCCTCTCAAAGCTGGCAGCATTGATGGCACCGATGAAGACCCGCATGATCGCGCCGTCTGGAGGGCGATGCTGGCACGATACACCCCCAACAAAGGCGTCACAGGGGACCCTCTCCTCACCCTGTTTGTGGCGAGACTAAACCTGCAGACCAAAGAGGAGAAGTTAAAGGAAGTGTTTTCCCGCTACGGGGACATCCGGCGGCTTCGGCTAGTGAGGGACTTGGTCACAGGCTTTTCGAAGGGCTACGCCTTCATCGAATACAAAGATGAGCGTTCTCTGCTCAAAGCTTACAGGGATGCTGACGGCCTGGTCATTGACCAGCACGAAATATTTGTGGACTATGAGCTGGAGAGGACTCTCAAAGGGTGGATTCCTCGGCGACTCGGAGGAGGTCTGGGTGGGAAGAAGGAATCTGGGCAGCTGAGATTTGGGGGGCGGGATCGGCCTTTTCGCAAACCCATTAACCTGCCAGTTGTGAAAAATGACCAGTTCCGAGAGGGGAAGAGGGAGAGGAGGGAGCGGTCTCGGTCCCGAGAAAGACACTGGGACTCCAGGATGAGGGACCACCGTGACAGGGGCAGGGAGAAAAGGTGGCAGGAGAGAGAACCAGCCAGGGCATGGCCAGAAGGTGACTGGGAGAGAGAGAGGGACTTCAGAGATGACAGGGTCAAGGGGAGGGAGAAGAGGGACAGAAGCAAGTAGACCATCCCTCGCCCTCTTCCTCCCTAAACCCAAAGGAAGGTGCAGGACCCGTAAGAGTGCAGGGATACCGCATTGCCTCTGTACAGAATCTATGTCCAGTGGTTGAATAAAACTGATGAAAACGAAAACAGAACAAAACCTTTCCAGTGATAATGGGGTTAGGTAAGTTTTCTTTTGACTCTGGAACCCAGTTTCAAGCTGAACACGCTGGTATTATAATTTTCTCTTCTTCATCTTACGTGTGTGTGTGTTAGTTGCTCAGTCATGTCCGACTGTTTGCAACCACATGGACTGTAGCCTGCCAGGCTCCTCTGTCCATGGGATTTTCCAGGCAAGAATACTGGAGTGGGTTGCCATTTCTTCCTCCAGGGGATCATCCCGACCCAGGGATCAGACCTGGATCTTCTGCATTGCAGGCGGATTCTTTACCATCTGAGCCACCAGGGAAGCCCCTCTTCATTTTACAGTTTTTTCAGTTTTTATTATTTTTAAAAATCTTTTGTCACACCTCATGGTACATGAAATATTGGTTACCAACCAGGGAACCCAGATCCCCTGTATTGCCAGCATGGAATCTTAATCACTGGACTACCAGGCAAGTCCCTGTTTTTGTTTTGGGCAACTTGTGGGGATATTAATTCCCCGACCAGGGATTGAACCCGGGGGCCCTCAGCAGTGAGAGTGCAGAGTTCTAACCATTGGATCTCTAGGGAATTCCCTTCATCTTACAGTTTTAAGGACCTGTTACTTGATAAGCTTGAGAAACAATTTTGTAGTCACCATCATCTGTACAGAAAGACCTGTGTAAGGAAGCATCACTCATTTAATTTGGTAGTAGAGAGCTTTGTTTTGATTTTTTTCTCCCATCTATTGGAAATGACCTTTTTGAAAGTGTAGCAAAAAGAGGTGATGCCTGGAAACCATTTGCCTTGATATGTGACTCTCAGGAACCTGAATCTGGTCAGGATCAAAGTTGTATCTTTTCCATCTTTACGTCCATAGTGCAAGGGTTTGGTTAAGTGAAATAAAAATAGGATAGAAAAGTGAATCCAAAGAGATTGTCCAGAGATGGAGAACCAAAAGCCAGTCCTAGCAGTGTTCTGGGTCAGTAGCCAGCTTGTCTTGAACAAATATAACTCCATTCTCCAGCCAAATGCTGACTACTTTTTTTTCCCTTTCCTTTTTTGGTGGGGTGACTGGCATTTAAAATGAAAAACCAAAGTTGCAGGGCTGTGAGGCTATGGACTATGGCAATCTTCCAGCCCTTGGAAAAGAGAAAGTTCAAGAGAAGTGAGAGTGAAATGAAAGTGAAATCCATGAAAGGTCAGTATCTAGTTCTGATGGACTGATTTGCCTTTTCCCTCGACCATCTGGCCTCTGGTTTGTTTAAAAGCCGGATATATTGACCTTAACTTCTGAGGACTTTGAATAAGTGCCATACTATCTACGGTTTTCAACAAACTGACATTTAACATTTTTGTCTTATCCATGACTGTATCTTTGAAAGTTTAGTTCTTAAAATTCAGGATGTCTCATGCAGAATAAATGCCTGATTTAGTATCAAGATTCACACATTCACTACTAGGTTTTTGCATCAGGAGTATGAATCTCATTGTTACATTGGGGACCTACAATATCTTAAAATTACTGTTAGCTGTTAGAACTGTTTTAGAAAAATATACTCTTTCTCGATTTCCAGTGCAATAATTTACAATCTCCCAAATCTCAACCATCTTTCAGGAACACCTTTCTGATTTCACCTACATTTCATTTAAAACATCTGTTATGGGCTAGAGTTAGAGTTAGCAGGTATATTAGGTAAACAAGAGATCCCCATCCAGGAACATGAGTTGCAAAATGGCTTCAGAAGTAACACATCCAGTGGCAGTGTTTTGTTTAATTCTAATTTTTATCTTTTGACTGTGCCACACAGCGTGTGGGATCTTAGTTCCCCAACTAGGGATTGAACTTTTATTCCCTGCATTGGAAGCATAGAGTCTTAAGCACTGGACCACCAGGGAAGTCTCCAGTGCCAGTGTTTACATAGTCTAAGCTGGCATTTATCAACCCTGAGTACCAGAACATGAATGGGTGAAAAAAAATATACACACTCAGACCCTGCCCCTGGACATATGGGTTTAGTCTTGTATCAGCCCTGATAACTTAAAAAAAAAAAAAGAAAGTAGGACTACCTCCCTTTCCTCCCCTGCCCCACCCTGGCAGGGGCTGTACCCATGGACATGGCAAAGGCTGACTCCCTCTGACCCAGCAGTTCTGCTTCTAGCTTATTCTGCGGGCTGATGCACAAGTACGAAAGTGTGCAGTGCTGTTTTAGGAAAACTGGAAGCCATCTGTCCACCCGTGGGCCTGGACAAACATAAACAAATTACACTCTGTATAGTTGACCAGGGTTCCTCAGTACTGGCACCATCGACATTTGGGGCTGGAATATTCTTTGGTTTCGGGTCTGGGCTATGCATTGTAGGATATTTAGCAACATCCCTGGGGCCTACCCAGGATGGATGACAGCACCCGTACCCGCCCCCCCCCGCACACAGTTGCGACAACCAAAACTGTCTCCAGAGTGCCAAATATCCCTGGGGGCCAAAATCACCCCTGGTTGAGACTCAGTGTCTCTTATACTGCTGTGGAGTTCTATCCGGGGTATTCTTAGGAATGAAAGGTACAGAAGGACGTGCGTATCATATGCTGCCATTTATGTAAAAAGAAGAGAAATATATCTGTTTTTTACATGACTGCATGGATATTTGTAAATTATTTCAGGAAAGACACCCAGGAAACTACCAACACTGGTTACCCCAGGGAAGGGCAATCAAACGTGATGGGGGGAGTTTGATGTGGGATCAGTTTTATTGTTGAGTTGCTCAGCTGTGTCTGACTCTTTGCGACCCCCTGGACTGTAGCCCGCTGGGCTCCTCCGTCCATGGGATTTCCCAGGCAAGACTGCTGGAGTGGATTGCCATTTCCTCCTCCAGGGAATCTTCCTGACTCAGGGATCAAACCCACGTCTCCTGCATTGGCAGGCTTTTATATTCTCTGAGAGTAAACTCCAGTAGTTCTAATGGCAGTCAGGTTGGAGAACCACTACTCTAAACCAACATTACCCTGTCTGATTATTTTTCTTAGTGATCTGAAAACAGAGTTCTGTTGATTCTGTAGATTCTGAGAAATGTAGATTCTGTAAACCAACCTGATGATTTCTTAGCACAACACAGTAAAACGTGTAGAAGGCAGCCCAGTCAGATATCCTTGAGTGCTCTGTTGGGAAATGGTATATCTTTCAAGCCTTGCACCCGCTGGGTGGAGAAAAAGCATTATTTGGGCAAACCGCCAACTTGCCAGTTGCAGACAGGGCATCCGGCTGTCCACCACAGCCCCAGAAGCCAGCCAGACATCAGTGGTCCCCAGGCCATCTTCGCGCCCACTGCCCTCTCTGCCAAGTTGAGGGCATCCCACCATCCAGCATCCCCTAGGGCTCCGCACCCCACCCTCAATCCACTTTGGGGACTTTGTCTTCTTCCCAGGGGACTAAGTGTTTGACACAGTAAATGCTGAAAGGAAACAAGATGCCAAGAAAAAAGAAAGCACACAAGAACCATTGCAGTGTCTCATCCTTAGCAACTTTGTTTGGTTAGTACTGCATAACTCACAGCAGATTCCAAGGCACTGGCCTTGAACATTGCTACATGCTCTAGGCATTATCAGTAACAAGGTGCAGTAGAGAACCACAGGCTCTTGCAAACTTGTCTCCAGTTTCTGGGTGGGAGGACTGTCGTCCCTGTTTTCTGTTGCTTTGTGTATGAGCGGGGCCAGTGTGTCCTGTGACTTCGGAGGCCCTCCCCATTTAGTTGATGCATCCTATATATTCTGCTACCACCATGACAATATCATGAACGCAACTAATGAAAACCTACCAGTTCCCTGCCTCCCATGTCAGTATGACAAACGTGATCATAAAATTTCTACACAAAGAATTTCATACAAAGCGAGTCAAACAGCAATTAGAGCGGCAGGTGATGTATCTGGCGAAGCTTGTGTTACTAAAGTTAATGCAAAAGTCAGCCTCCGCTCATGGTCTTATTAAATATATATCTTAAGGGATTGGAGTCATCTATTAGAAATGGTGGTAGCCCTGGTATAAATAAATGTCTCTTTAGAGTTTGGCATCAGTTTTTCAACGTGCTCCCTCGAAGCAGACAGTCTGTTGGAGGGATCAGTTTTGAGGGTGTGATACCCAAGGTGGCCGTGTTTCATGGCAGCCCCTGGCCGTGGGTGGTTCAGGTCCGAGGACAGAGGTGGGTCACGGTCACAGGTGCTGCAGGGCCTCCTGTCCTTGCTCCGTGTAACCGTCATCGCGGTGGCAGTTGGCCCACTGGCCGAAGGTCTCGTGGATGCGCACGTTTCTCTGCGTGTTGGCCAGACGCTTCTTATCTCGGGAGAAGAAGCTAAACCTTTGGGAAGGGAAAGACGGAAATGAGAGGCTGCCCTTGGCTGTGCACGTCACAGGTTTTGCAATTGCCAGGGATGTACAGCAGCAAACGTGAGGGGAGCGAATCAGCTCAAGGTGTGAAAGAAAAGGTTGGGGATGCGGGCCAGTTATTCCGGAAAGCAGCGGGGGGTGATTGTACATGTGACTGTCACGGTACCTTGGAGGTGACACAGTGTGAGCAGGGTGTGAATGTAGGTGATGTGTGATGTACCTCCCGCCTTAAGCACTACAGGGGATTTCTTCTTACCAGTGGAAATAAAAAGCTACTGGAAACATACATCATGGGTTTCTTTACCTCGATGATGCAGAGAAAGGAATACTCAGAAGCCATATGAGATGTAAGATGATTCAGATGTAAAGAGATGAATGTTTTAAAGTAACTATGTATTTATGTGATGTGAACTGGGAAGCTAGATAAGTAGCACCTCAAAGTCCAAATTTCATGGATATTTCTACTGCTTAGAATGAGCTCAAAGTAGGTAGTTAAGAAAAGAGATTAAAATACATATTAAGAAATATATATTAAGTAACAGTACGCATGTGCACTGATTAGATAAACACTGTGAATACAGACTGTGAAAGAAATTTGGGAAATATCAACTTGGACAAGTGACAAGAAGTGATCTAATGGTGAGAGCCTTTAGAAGTTGTCACAGTTACTATCTACATGGCTACAGTAGACCATGAAGTCTTTTTCAAATAGCTGTGACTGTTGATCATTGATCAATCAGAGCGAACCATCAGAGGCCTGAATGATAAAAGTGGAAATCTCAGGCAAAAAGCTGACAGAGTGGCCCACTTGAAACAAAGTCAGCTGAAACTCCACCTCAACAGAGTCAAGGACCCAGGGCAGTCAACCCGAGTTGGCCCACACTGAGTATTTCCGGTAAGTCCTTTCTAAGCTGCCAACTGTCCTCCTGCCCTCCCAGCTTCTCATTAAAGAGGATTTCTAGTCTTACTAAGTTCCTCTACTCTTGAATTTTGGTTTTTGAACATGGTCAGAGTTGTAGTAATTCAGTTATGTTTTCTGAGAGCAGGAATAGGAAGGAACCCCCGAGAAATCAAAGCTTCAGATCAACTATTTTTAGTTCCCTCTGTCCCTTTACCTGTTAGGTTTTGTTGTTTGTTTTGTTTTGCTTCTGTTTTTAAGTGCTGTGGCCTATGGAGTTCAGTTTTAATCACATTTGGGTGAAAATTATTTTCCTATCCTGTGGTTACTGGATCCTACAATCACTTCCTACCAGGAATGAAGTAGTCTTTCATTGTAAAGCTGGGGCAAGCCAAGCCTGCCTGGAGAAACTCTCTCTACCAGCTAAAGTCTCTCTCTCTTTTTTTTAATGATGTATTCTTGGACTGTTTTTGTTTGTTTGTTTTCAAACTTTTTACTTTGTACTGGGGTATAGCCGATTAACAATGTTGTGATAGTTCCAAGTGAACAGTGAAGGGACTCAGGCATACATATACATGTATATGTAAAGTCTCTTTTTTTCCTGAAACCAATATATGCACTGGCAAATGAAGGAATGACTCTCATTCTGGGTTATTTGAGAGCTCTCTCTGTAATGTTATCGAAGCAATTAAGCTGGCCAGAAATATAGCTGCATTCATCACTGATACATATCATGTCTGCCTGATTCAAGCAGGAAAGCCACTTGCCACTTCCTGTCCAAGGGGACACAGAAAGAATCAAGACAAAGTCCCCTCTTCTGCTTTTCCTGTTAACAAGCTCAAACGGCTTGCTGACAATGGCTTGGCAAAACAAAGCAGTTTAGAAAGCCAGGGTGTGACGATCGAAAAACACAGCGTTAGTGTCACTCGGGGGGATGGGTCATGGTGGGTGTGGCTTACTGACCCGTCACTTAAAGGACCTTCTTTACTGGATCATGGACAAGGTGGTTTTAGAATGGAAACAGAAAAGACAAAAAGAATTATCGGTGACAGAGCCCAGAATTCCAAGGCTTCACTCGTGCAGATGGAACATTCATGGGTGGCACGTTCGAAATCACACTCAACACCCACTTCAAATGGGAACACGCAGGGGTATGGCCATGCAGCTAAAGGGGCCAGAGGAGACAGGCCAGCCCCAGCGGTAGCCGCAGCAGACATTGCAAAGGCACAGCTCAAAAGGAAACCAGAAAAAAATCCAGTGCCTACGAGGGACACAAGTCGTCGGACAGGCTGCAGAGTGGGGTCATCTATTATCAGTCCAGCTGCTACCATGGGCATTATGGCTGTAAAGATCCTGGTCAGAAAGGTACAGATAGACACAGAGAAGATAAAAACAGGGGAGGTTGGGACTTCCCTGGTGGTCCAGAGGCTGAGACTTCGCCATCCCAATGCAAGGGGCCCCGGGTTCGACCCCTGGTCAGGAAACTAGATTCCACATGCTGCAACTAAGAGTTTGCATGCTGCAACAAAGACTCAGTGGAGCCAAATTAAAAAAAAGGGGGGGGGGGTGAGGTGTGAAAAAGAAACACACTCCACAGACAGGTCAGCTGAGGGCTTTGCTTATGGTTTGCGTGGAACTGTGCTGTCCACCCACCACCCCGCCTCCATTCATATTTTGCAAAGTCCTAACTCATAGCTCAGAATGTGACCTTATTTAGAAATAGAACCCTTGCAGATGTAACTAGTTTTCGTGAGGTCATACCAGAGTAGGGTGGCCCCAGTCCAATACGACTGGTGTCCTTATAAAGGGGGACATGTGGGCACAGATATGCATACAGGAAGAAGGCCATGTGAAGATGGGAGACATTTGGGGTGACGCTTCTATGAGTGAACAAAGGCCAAAGATGGCCAGCAAACCACCAGGAGCTAGGAGAGAGGCATGGAGAAGATGATCCCTCATGACCCTTTGAAGGAACAGACCCTGCTGAACACCTTGATCTTGGACGTCTAGCTTCAAGAACTGTGAGACAATACATCTCTGTTGTTTAAGCCAGCTTGGTTTGTGGTACAGCAACCCTAGCAAACGAATAGCATGTGACAACCACCTAGGGAAGACAGGCTGGCCTTGAGGGCTGAAAACACAGGCCTGGGTGTGGAGAATGGTGGATCAAAACCTGCTGTGGGATTCAGTGGTGACATCTGTGGGTATCTTCCAGCCCGTCTCCCCCAGCTGCCACAAGCTGCAGGCTCGGTACCCTGAAGGCAGCCAGGGGAGACCCAGGAGGGAAGATGAGGCAGCCAGGATGGGCTGGGCAGAAGACAGGCTGCACAATTGCTCCCCTGGATAAGCCAGAGTCTACTCAGCAAGCTCCGGGAGACAGTGAATGACAGGGAAGCTTGGCGTGCTACAGTCCGTGGGGTTGCAAAGAGTCAGGCACAACTTAGCCACTGAACAACAAACAACAACAGTGAATGCTCACAGGTTCTTTGTCTGGGCAAGGAAAATAAAGAAACTCTAACCACGTCTCTAGAACTTAATTTGAACAGCTTGGTTTTGTTTTTGTTTGTTTGTTTTTAAAGAGGTTGGCTGGGGAAAAGATATAATAATATGATGATCTCAAATGAGGTTTGAGAATTCTGTGTCTGGATCACCTTTGATGCAATTCCCCAAAGTAGCTGGGAGCTGGCATCTCAGCAGAACCATCTGAACGACTTCTCATGGTGACAGTGAGGGGCTTCCCACTGAATGGGCCCAGTCCCCAGAGGCCAGGCTAGCGGGCACCATTAGCTTCTTGGCCATAAGGCTCTGCACTCACCTTTATGCTCTCTCTAGCATAACAGGGAGCCCTCAAAGACACAGCTGTTGTTTAGGGGATGGCCCAAGATATGCAGGCTAGGTATTTTGCCTGGACAGATGTTTGCCTGCTGAGAAATGCTGGACTTCATTTGGGGCCCAATCAGGGGCCAGACTGATGCATCAGGGCCTTGGGACACCTGGCGGGGAAGCAGGAGGGGGTTCTGGTTGAGCTACTCTCTGTGGGTCTCGCTGGGATCCCTGACATGGACAGCCCCCCTTCTCTCCCCATTCCAGGCTCCCTGCAGAAGCCACCTCCTCCAGAGGGACAGCCACTGCTATGAAAAAAGACTGGCTTGTTTTGGTCAAAAGTTATATCCTGGATACAATGTAGCTGGTTTCAAGCTCCCACCAGCCCCCGCCACCACCCCACCCTGCAACAATTATTTCTGGAAGACTCAAAGCAAATGAGGTTCTAACAGTGGCATTTCAGGCAGTGCAATGGGCGGCTGTGAAGAAGTTATTTCTGGGCTGCAGTGAGCAGGGTGGCAGGTAGGAGGACAGGGAGAGATTGCACCATTGTCACTACCGTTGGATACTCAGGTGACTGCCTGCTCCAAGGCCAGCTTTTCTGGTGTGTGAGGCCAGCTGTTCCGATCGCAGCTTCCCCGGCTGAGCCTCTATACCCACTGCCAGCTGCCTGCCTCCCTGGTCAGCCCCCTGCCTCCGCTCAGTAGCCCTGCGTGTGCCTGTCAGCCCGTGATGGAGAGCTGCGAGCAACACAAAGGGGGCGCTGGTGCCTGGTGTCCACTGGGGACAAGGGTGGAGCCACTCAGCCGCTCCCTCGTGACTTTCCCAGGCAGTGCCAGCCCAGACTCTCTGGCCAGCAGCTGCTCAATCACAAGCTATTCTTGGAACGTCCTCTGGGCACGCTGTTTGGAGAGGTGGCTGGAGTTTCTGGTTCCCTCGACCAGTTCAGCCCAGAAATGTAGATTCTGGAGTCTCTGGCTGGTGGTGCATTTGAGAGATAAGGGAACTGGGCAGTCAGCCCACAGCTGGTGACTCAGGAAGTGGGGGAGGTAAAGAAAAGGAGGGGTAGGGAGGCCGAATGAGGCGGTTGGGGCAAGCACAGGGCTGGGTGGCAAAAAAAGGCATGGGTTCCAATCCATACCAACTTTGATCCTTCCCAGCAAGTGATCACAGTGAAGTCAATGGGCTTCTCTGGGCCTCAGTTTCCTCATCTGAGAAATGGGGCTAAACGTCCCAGCTCTGAATCTCCCGACAGAGCAGAACCTCCAAGGTATTAGATAGTTACTGCTTACTCATTGGTGGGTGGGGAAAGTGGTGGAAGGCAGGAAGCTGAGCTGGGGAAGAGCTGTGAGCTGCACTAAAAAGGCTGTGTCGGGACTTCCTGACATGCTGGACACTGTGGTCCAGTGGCTGGGACTCTATGCTCCCGATGTGGAGGGCCCCGGGTTCCATCCCTAAGTCAGGCAACTAGATCCCAAGTGCCGCACCTAAGACCCGGAGCAGCCAAGTAAATTTTTTTTAAAAAAGGTGTATGACTAATATTCCACAAAAGCCAGGACAAAGGGACCAGACAGACCCAGATGGGTGCCTGAGAGTGATGAATGGAGAGGGCGACAGGCGTGGAACCATCTTAAGAATGATCACTCCTTTGCCTGGTCCCCAGGGAAGATCCATTTCTGCCCCAGGCTCTGAGCTCGTGGTCACCCTGATGCAGCTTCTGGTCAGTGGCTGAGGCGGACAAAGGCGACTGCTGTCCTGTCTGGGCTGGTCAAAAGCCTTTTGTGCTGGTTTGATCTCCCACTTATCCCCTAGAAGACTGGGGCAGCCATGGGACTAGCCAGCTGCACCCCGTGGAAGAGAGATTCTGAATTCTCTCTCCCTCTCGTCTGTCTCTAGCTCCCGGATTCCAGCTACTTCTCCAGCTGGGCTCAGAACCCCAGGTCTTGCTGAGCAACCAGAGGCCAAACTAAAGGGGAGATGGCGTTTGAGAACAGAGTCCTTTCCAGAACAATCTGGAAAAAAGAGGACCAGACACCACAGCCAACTCAGGTGTGGGTAGAAGAACTAGTAGAAAAAAAAGTGTTGGCAATTCTGATACCTTTCCTCTGGATTTTACCTAGTTTGAGATTTGCAAAGACCAACACTTAATTACCTGTTTTAAAAGGGGGCTGGAGTGGAAAACTAGAAAGTCAGAACAACACTGCTTCAGAAGGAAGCCTTAGAATCACATGTGACTTGGAATTCCAGTTCCAGAGATGCTGTAAATGTAGTAGTGGTGGAGCAGAAGTGATGGAAAGGTCTGACTGTTAAAGGCAAGGAACTGCTGAGGGAAGAAGATGCTGCTCTCTTGGTCTTATCCTTCCCTTAGCCAAGGGAGGGACTGTGTGAGCTCATAAACATTTTCTCTAGTTCCCCAGGATTTCAGCCAAAGCACGTAAGATCACTTCTGCTTGTCCTAGGGCTTCCGTAGTAGCTGAGATGGTAACGAATCTGCCTGCGATGCAGGAGACCCCGGTTTGATCCCTGAGTTTGGAAGATCCCCTGGAGAAGGGAATAGCTACTCACTCCAGTATTCTTGCCTGGAGAATTCCATGGACAGAGGAGCCTGGCAGTCCATGGGGTCGCAAAGAGTTGGACATGACAGAGCGACTAATACTTTCACTTTTCACCTTCTGCTCATCCTTCCATGCAAGTGGGGCAGGAGGACAGATCAGGGCCTCAGCTAAAGGAATCCCACTTCTGACCAAGCACTGGATGGGGAATCTTAACCAAGGATACTGAGTTCATCAGAGAATCAAGACCAAAGGGCTCCTTCTCCCCAAAGATGAGGTTACAGTGGATGCTGGTTACTTCTGTCTGCTCAGCAAACTGATCTTGCCTGGGGTCTGTCCCTCCCTTAACTTCAATCCGTGGGAACTGGATGGAGTTAAAGCTACTCCAAGCTTCAGGTGTGAGAATGAGACCAGACCAGACCTATGGATGCACTGCCCTGTGATTGGCTTAGGGGGTGGTCATGTGACCTGGTCAGAGCCAATGAGACTCAATTCTGTGACCCTGTGGGAGACTCTTTTCTGAAGTTTCATACCAGAAAGCAGAAGCCTGAGCTGATGGCAGCTGTACTGCCACCCAAGAATACAGCACACAGAAAGGAAAACCGCGGTAGAGGTAGAGGGGATGAGGCAAAGCCCCGATGACAAGGCCTGGATCCAGCTGAATCTAAAACTAAGATGACCTGAAAATAGTTGCTTGACCAACAGTTCATCTTAAGTTACTTAGAGGTGCGTTTCAAGTGCCATTGGAAGATTACAAACTAATACGTGGCCGACATGGTGTTGAGATCCAGAGGAGGCCTATCAATTAATAGTTCCAAGCTTCACCCCAGGAAATATTTATCCCTAAGCAGAACTGGGGACCACATCCCCTCCCAAATCCAGCAGATGGAGGGCCAAGCAAATAATATGTGAAGCTGGCCAAGAGCGGCTTGGAAGAAAACCAGATCTTTAACCTCACACTCTCGAGGGAGGCCAGCCTTTCCCAGGGCCCAACATTTGAACAAGTCATCCCTTTCTAAGGACAGAACAGAAACAAAAAACAACCCAGGGACTTCCCTGGCGGTCCAGTAACCACTGGACTTCTAATGTAGCAGGTGCAGGTTCGATCCCTGGCTGGGGAGCTAGGCCAAGAAACCAAAACATAAAACAGAAGCAATATTGTAACAAATTCAATAATGACTTTTAAAATAGTCCATATGAAAAAAAAATTATATAAAAAAAAAAAAGACTGCACTTCCAGTGCAGCAGGTGTGGGCTCAATCCTTGGTCAGGGAACTAAGATCCTATACGCCGCCCAGCTCAATCAAAACCCAAAACCAAAACCTAATAAAACCAAACAAAAACTAAGAGCAGAAGGCCAGCAGTTACACACACTTTGCATTCCGTTCCCATCCCCCAACACTGAGGCTTAAGTCAATTCACAGGATAAGAACTAGTAGAGGATTTTCAAACATAAATGGGCTTTAAAGTTTGAGGCATCCAAGTAACACCCCAATTCCTCTCTCCAAGCACCCCAGCTAGCTTTCCAACCCATGCCACTTGCTTTCACAAAACTTCTACCAGGGTCTGTGTGGAAGAACTGAGGCCTCTTTTACAATCAGTTGTAAGGCTGAGAGCCAAGAAGACCCTCTTAGGGGTGAACAGGAGGCCACAAGACAACTGGGAGTGGAAGGCCCTCCTGCAGTTTAAAATGGGAGCTCTGGGCCAGGTGCCTGGGTTTGAACCCTGACTCTGCCTCTTATTAGCTGTATGACCCTGGGCAGGTGACTGACTTCAGTGCCTCAGTTTCCTTAATTGTAAAATGGGAATGACAATGCCCCCACTTCACAGGGCTACTGGAAAAGACCCTGATGCTGGGAAAGACTGAGGGCAGAAGGAGGAGGGGGCGACAGAGCATGAGATGGTTGGATGGCATCACTGACTCAATGGACATGAGTTTGAGCAAACACTGGAAGATAGTGAAGGACAGGGAAGCCTGCCGTGCTGCAGTCCATGGGGGTCGCAAAAAGTTGGACATGACTAAGCGACTGAACAATAACACAGGGCTATGGTGAGGACTCAATCTGCCGGGACAGTACTGGACACCTAGTACATTCTTAGTAGATATTAGCACATAGTAGGTTCTTAGTAGATATTAGCTAATGAGACTAGAGCTTTAACCCTTTATCTGAAGGGTTGCAGGCGTCAGTGAACCAAAAACTGTTTGCAAAATTGTATGATTTCCTCCCCCGACCCCTCCAGGAAATGGTCTGCAGCCTCTCATCTGAGTCTCAAAGGAGTCTTTTGATGCGAGGATCCCTGAAGAAGCTTTAAGTCTAGCTGAGGGCAATGACTAGGTTGCTCTTTTTCTTGTGTGTTCCCCACAGCAACCAGGCCCTGCCTCTGCATGTATTATGCACCAATGAATACTTAATAGAGAGATGGAGGAACCGATAAAGTCGTCACAGAAAAGCATAGATAGGGTGGACCTGTGGCCATTTGGACATCTCAGAGCTGGGGTTTCAAGCCCTTAAGAGGCACAAACCTTCTCCACCACGTAGTGTTTGCTGTCTTCAGAGACATGCCCCACCTTATACACTCAAGCAAGCCCTGAGCGTCAGCCATAGGTCCCAGCCCTTTCCCGCCCCCTCAGCCTTCCCCAAACCTCCCTGCCCAGGGACCAACACCCACCCCCCTAGGAGGAACTCGGCCTTCAAGGTACAGAGGTGAAAGCCAAGTCAAGGGCTAGGCCCAAAGTGCCCCAGGGTTAGGTCCATCTTGGCGGGAGGTGGTTAGTGACAAGCCCTGGCCTGGAGCAGGTGCCCAGGAGAAGTGAGAGGCCATGTGAACCACCAGCTCAGCCACCAATGAGCAGCTCCAGACAGCGGAAGCGCAGCACTTACAGTCGCTTGATCCCAGACTCAGGCTGGGGAGACATTCTCGGGTGGGCAATGGGTGGAGGTTGGGGTATTCGATTCTCCTCTTCGATTTCTTCACTGCAAGGAGTTGAGAGACATGAGATTAGAGAGTCAACAATTCCATGAAAGCTGGAATATTCCAATGGCACTGTCTGGTGGTCTGAGAGGGCACATACTTTTACAAGGGAGTGATAATAAGGGACCCAGGAGGACAACAGTGGCCTTTGCCCCACAAGCTCTCTGCCTAAGAGGTTGGCTTCTGGAATGGCCAGTTAAGAGGAAGGATATGTCCTGGAGGCAATGTACACAGGTGCCTGCAGGCCCTTTGGCCCAGTTGGCCACAGGTGAGAAATTTCAGGAGGGTACCCACATCTCTATTTTAAGTTTACTTTGGAGAGTCTAGCCAAATAGAATTATTTCCTGTTCTTGACAAATGTTTCCTTGTCTCCATACCTTTGTGATTCATTCTGCCTGGAATATGCCACCCACAACATCTCCCATATCTGAAAAGGACCCTGTCCTTTAGAGAAGACCCAGTTCAAATGCCACCTCCTCCATGAAGCCTTCCTGATTTCCACCCCATCCCCAAGCCAGAAGAGATTTGTCTCTTCTTCAAGCAGCCAACGCACACATTGTCATAAAGCTTTCTCACGTGGCAGACTCACAGTAGGTTTTCAATAAGCATGTATGGCATTGTATTTTCTCTGATGTCTTATCTTCCCTACAAGGGCAGGGACCACATTGGTCCTTCCTTCTAGTTTTCAATGCAACAGGCACTTGTGTACCTACTCTGGGTAAGCTGCATCCTGAGTGCTGGGAACTTAGTCATGAACAAGACAAGTAAGGTTTCTGGTGCCATGATGGTGCAGTCTGGTGTGGAAACAGACAGTAAAACCAGCATGTTCCTGAACAGGAGAATGTGAGATAGTGAAAAAAGCTATGAAGAAAGTAAAACTGAGGGGGGTGTGGGACTTTCATGGTGGTGCAGTGAGTAAGAATCCACCTGCCAGTGCAGGAGGACATGGGTTGACCCCTGGTCAGGGAAGATTCCACATGCTGTGGAGCAACTAAGCCCACATGAGGGCCTGAGAGCCAAAAGTACTGAAGCCTGTGCTCCACAGTGAGAAGCCTGAGCACCACAACGAGGAGTAGCCCCTGCTTGATGCAACTAGAGAAAGCCTGCACAAATCAATGAAGACCCAGCACAGCCGAAAAGAAAGCAAAACTGAGTAAGATGACAGACAGTGACTAGGACAGAGCACTCCTTTGAAGGGGTGGTGATGGTGAAGGAAGGCCTCTCTCAGGACGTGACATCTGACCCAAACCCTGAGTGACCAGGAGCCAACTATGGGAAGAGTCATGGTGAATGTTTTTCCAGCTACAGGAGCAGCATGTGCAAAGGTCCTGAGGTTACCTGATCGAGCAAGGTGTGTTTTGAGGAACCAATAGAAAGGCAATGTGTACAAAGCTGGGGCTTCCCAGGTGGCGCTAGTGGTAAAGAACCCACCTGCCATTGCAGGAAACATGAGACATGGGTTCTATCCCTGGGTCAGGAAGATCCCCTGGAGAAGGGAATGGCAACCCACTGCAGTATTCTTACCTGCAGAATCCCATGGATAGAGGAGCCTGGCAGGCTACAGTCCACAGGGTCACACAGAGTTGGACACGACTAAGCAACTAAGCACATATACAAAGCTGAATGAGTATGAGGTGGCATGGTATGAGATAGTTGTTTAAGTCGGTGAAGTGCTGTGCATAGAACTTTCCAGGAGAATGAGAATGTTTTTCTTCACTGTTCAATATGGTGGCTGTCAGCCACAAGTGCTGATGGAACACTTGAAATGTGGTGAGTGCAACTGAGGAACTGAATTTTACATTTTACTTAAGTTTAATGTGTTTAAATAGCCACACATGGCTAGTGGCTACTGTATGTGCAAGGACTTCATTGACCACGGATGAACTAAATGATCAAAAATATTAGGCTGGGTAGCTCCATCATCTCTGTTATTTTTTTTCCATTTTATCCCCCACCATCTCTTATCTGTAATTCCCAAATCCAAACAGCTCTAAAAACCAAAATTCATTTTTTTGGTCATTCATTTGGTGGCAAACTCTGAAATGAAACCTCGTGAGGCTGTTTATCATCTTGACTGTTCTTATTGATTCCGTGTGAATGTTCACATCTTTTGCTGCAAAAATATTCTTTTGTTTTACTTGGGGGGAGCCGCCCCAGAACTCACATATAATATAAGGTCATAAGGTAATACAGTATTTATAATATTCCTTTCTAACTGCTGGAAAAGTTCTGAATTATAAGAGGAATCTGAGCCTCAGAGTTTCAGAAAGGAATTCTGAGTTGGTATGTAAGTGCCTCAGGCCAGTGACGATCCCTACAATGAACACAGATGCAGTCCTCCTCTTCCAGGTGTGAATTTGTCCCTAAACTCCAAACCACCTCAGAATGGAGCCAGCCTGGGAGCTCAGTGGAACACTCACCTCTTGTAGTATGCCAGCTCTTCTTGCAACAAAAACACCTTGGACTTGAGCTCGTTTCTTTCATGTAGCACGTCCCGCAGCTCCTGCAGTGTGAACCGGGGGCGGTTAGGGTCCTTGAGATCCATGGCCACCTTCTCCGCCTCGGAGACACACTCTTCTCCGCCCAGCTCCGCCTGGAGGGGGCAGAGATGCTGCTAATGAATTCCTGGCCACAGCCACTAGCACCCACTCTGCATCCTGCCGGAGTCTGAATTTCCCACCCTTCCCGGGCCCTGAGCAGCTTGCTGAGGGCGCTATTTTAAGAACTTGCGGGCGGCCTCTGCTCACGTTCTGTGCAGTCAGCATTCGTCCTTCGGGAGAGCACAGCCAGTGGCCACCTGTGCGCTGTTTGCCTTCTCAATACCCAGACCCACAATCCCATTGCCTCCCCAACTGACTCAGGGTTTTAATTACAAATAACATTGAAAGGTGTCAGAGAAGAAACTCAATGCTCCCTCAATGCCACCATCCTCTTAAGTCAGCCTGGTTTCCCTTTCCCATGTTCTTGCTTCATTTCTAACCAACTGGCACCGCATGCATACTTAGTCCTGTCTGACTCTTTGCGACCCCATGGACTCTAGCCTGCCAGGCTCTTCCGTCCAGGGAATTACCCAGGCAAGAATACTGGAGTGGGTTGCCATTTCCTGCTCCAGGGGGTCTTCCTGTCCCGGGAATCAAACCCGAGTGTCTTATGTCTCCTGCATTGTGTCTCCTCTCGTGTCCACTGCGCCACCTGGGAAGCCCTTTCTAACGGAAGCTATTGCTAATGTGGCCAAAGTCGTTGGAATCAGATCCAATATGCCATTCTCTATTCCTTTTTCCTTTGATAAGAAGTCGTACACAGTTTCCTATTTGTTACTGGCCTTCTGGTTAAGCCCACTCCTCCCCAGTGGTGGTGGGGACATTTCACTGGAGTTCGGTGGAAGCCCTGGTAGGGGTGGAGGTGGGAGGTTCACGTCACAGCTGACACAGGGCATTTACTTCTCTTCCATGTGGGTCACACAGATGGATCCTAGTCTGCTAAGTTTCCAGACCCAAACCCCATACTCCTGCTCTCATACACAGCAAGGAGTTTGCCATTTTTTTTTAAATTGTGATAAAATCCACTTAACATAAAATTTCCATTTTAAAATGCACAATTCGGGGATGTCCCTGGCGGTCCAGTGGTTAAGCTTCTGCACTCTCAGTGCAGGGGGCCCAGGTTCAATCCCTGGTTGAAGAACTAAGATCCTACATACTACTTGGCATGGCCAAAAATTAAAAATAAAATAAAATTCAATACAAAAAAATCAAAACGCTATTAAAAATAAAATGCACAATTCCATGGTGTTAGATGGCACAGTGGTAAAGAATCTGCCTGCCAATGCAGGAGACTCAGGAAACAGATTCAATCCCTAGGTCGGGAAGGTCCCTTGGAGAAGGAAATAGCAACCCACTCCAGTATTCTTGCCTGGAGAATTCCATGGAGAGAGGAGGCTGGCAGGCTACAGTCCATGGGGTCACAAAGAGTCGGACATGACTGAGTATGCACGCGTGTAGCACATTCATGGTGCAGTGCAATCACTTCTAACTAGTTTCAAAACATTTTCCAGAGGAAACTCCACACCCATCAGCAGTCCCCCTTCCCCCAGCCCCTGGCAACCACCACCTGCTTTCTGTTTCTCTATGGGTCTGCCTTTTTTGGGCATTTTCTAGAAATGGAATCATATAATATGTGGCTTTTGGTGACTGGTTTCTTTCACTCATGTTTTAAAGGTTCATCTACATTGTAGCCTGTGTCAGCACTTCATTCCTTTTCATTGCTAAGTAATATTCCACTGAGTGAAGAGACCACATTTTGTTTATCCTTTTATCTGCTGATGGACATCTGAGTTTTGTTTCTACCTTTCGGCTGCTGTGAACAATGCTGCCATGAACATCTGTATGTGAAGATTTGTTTGAACACTTCAGTTCCTCGGGGTATACATCTAGGAGTGGAATTGCTGGGTCATGTGGTGACTCCATGTTTAACTTCTGGAGTAACTGCCAAACTGTTTTCCACAGTGGCTGCCCCCTTTTACATTCCTGTAAGCAGTGTAGGAGGGGGTTGACATTCTCCACATCCTTGCCAACATTTTTTTCTTTTTTGATAGCAAGGAAGTTTTTGCAAGCTTTCCAGGTCCAAGCTGGCCATATCGGCAGGTGGCCCATACTCTACAGGCAGTGTACTGTTCCTGACAGCCTTGCATTGCCAGTGTCCCACGATCGTCCAGAAGGAGTGGACAAAAAGTTGAGGACAACAGTGAGAAAGAGGGAAGAGACCGAGGGAAAGAGGGATTGAAATACAGAACTGGCTCCTCCCCCACCAAAACCCCACAGAAGCACAAGGAGAGAGGGACTCTAGCTTAGATGGGCCAGCTGGCTGAAGGACCATAGGAGGCAGAGCTGAGATGCCTCACGTCCAGAGAGTCGGGGACGTGCTGTTCTGGGAGAGGACAGTTGAAAGGAGACACCACCCACCAGAGGAGATCAGGTGACACCAGAGCCACCCAGCAGGCGTGGGGCGGAAGCGGGTCTGAGCCGGAGTCAGCACCGAGCGGGGGGGTGGGGCAGAAGGGGAGGTGTCTGGAGGCAGCAGGAGACTGAAAGCTGACACACGCCGCCCACCCAAGCCAACTGGAGGGGCCTCTTCCTACCCAAGAGCTCAGGGAGGAAATGGAGGAATTAACATCCCAAGAAGGCACTCTACGGTGTTTACTGATGCCACACCTTCAAAGGACTGTGTTCTCAGGGCACATCTTCAGTGGGTTTGTTTTTGGCTGCACCACTGGCATGTGGGATCTTAGCTCCCCAACTAGGGATTGAACCTGTGCCCCTGGCATTGGAAGCATGGAGTCTTAACCACTGAACCACCAGGGAAGTCCATCTTCAGTGTTTAACTTCCTCTGCAGAGCCTTTGGGGCCGCTCCTTGGACCACCTGATGGCCATACATTCAGACAGTATCCTCTACCCAAGATCATGTAGAACAAATGCTTAATACACAGCAGGCACTCACTAATGCCAGTTCTCTTCTCTTCCTCTGCCCAGGTTAACCACAGAGCATCCTCGGAGGTGAGTGTGTGTGTGTGTTAATTGCTCAGTTGTGTCCAACTCTTTGCAACCCCATGGACTGTAGCCTGCCAGGCTCCTCTGTCCATGGATTTTCCAGGCAAGAAGACAGGAGTGCGTTGCCATTCCCTTCTCCAGGGGATCTTCCCAACCCAAGGAGCAAACCCAGGTCTAATATTCACTTAAATGACTGAGCAACAACTTTGTGCCTGCTGGTCACTGAGCTAATGAGACGAATCAGATAGGTGGAAGTGGAGGAAAGATATACACAAACAGAAATTTATAATATAATATAATGAAAGGTGCAAGGACATCAATTCTGAGAAGGACCACAGAAGATGTTACTGCAGATGTGGTCTCTGTGCACAGGGTCTTGAGGGATGTGTAGGAGTTCACCAAGAACTCTGGGCCCACCCCAGTGGCCCCACTTCCATCCCACCCCCCTTTTATTTGATTCTGTGTTCTAAAACTCCTCTGAAGTAGTTGCCAATTGTTTTAGATCAGGAGATTTCACATTAAAGTTTGGGTTTAGGGCTTCCTTTTGGGGGAAAAAAAAATGGAGAACTAGGTCACATGGAGTCTACATGGCAACACCGGGCTGGTGCTATGTAGCAGCTACGATCTTTCATGTGCTATTTCCATGGCTGCACACTCACCTCCCCCTTTTCCTTCTCTGCCTAGATCCCATAGGGGTTAGAGGCTGTAGACTGAAGTCTCAGGCTCACACACTCCCTTCCAGCCCCTCCCTTCCTCAAACAACCCAGGCTCTTACATCCACTGGGCAAGTCCCCTGCCTCGTTCTGTCTCTGGGAAGTGCCAGCTGACAGATGACCACATGCCTGGGGAAGACATAAAGCCCTTCAGGAAGGTTCCCAACCCCTCGCTTTCCCAGAGGGCTCTGGGCAAGCTGCCTACTCCTTTCCGGGCCCGTGTTTCCCCATCGAGCCCTAAAAAAACCATTAATATTTCTAAGGGCTCTTCCCACCCCTACATCAGGGCATCCCTGTGAATACAGGCTTTCAAGGTATGGGAGTTCTCTGCTCACCTCCATGGGTTGTCCTCACCCAAGACACCAAAGGGCTTGCTCAGAACCTGAGTTCTTTATCTCTGGTGAAAAGACGGCTCTTTTATCAGAGGGGCAACCTGATCCCCTTAGAGCTTGAGAGATGCCGAGACAGGTGTGCAAAAAAAAAGTCCTGATTTCTGGGACTGCCGCCTGGAAGTGCAGAAGAGGATGAGATTGGGGCTTGAGCTTTTCCAGAGGCCCCCAGGCACTGCTGCAGTGCCCTGGGCAGCCCAGTCCTCAAGAGACATGGCCCAGGCTCTTCCCAACATGGCAGTCGGGTCAGTCAGCAGCGAGCCTCCTAGACCTACCCCGTGAGGGACCACAGAGGTGGCTCGGGTTATCGCCGATAACCTGAGGCTCTCTGGGCACAGCTTGAGGGAGATGCCGGAGGCCCCAGGTACTCCCCAGGGAGGCCCAGGAGACCAGCCGACAAGCAACGGGGCCAGTCCAGAGGCCTTAGGGAGGCAGTACCCTCCATCAGGGCCCTCCATCCTCAGGCCTGACCCCCTGGGCGTGCTCCCCCCACCCCAGCACTGCCTGGGTCTAGCAAGATCACTTCCTGTGCTCCCAAGGCCCCTGGAACCCACTTCTGAGCAGCCCTGGCCCAGCAATGGGGAATGACTGTGCTCCAGGCTACCATGGATAAATTCAGCGCCCAAAACCCTGGTTCACAGGCCAGTCATCAGGCCCCTCTCTGCTTTTCCTGTATACTTAACAACAAACAAACAACCAGAAACAGGTTCACAGGCTTAGAAAACGAACTTACAGTTACCAATGGGGGAAGGGGGAGGGGGAGGGATAGTTAGGGAGTTTGGGATCAACATGTACACTCCGCTGTATTTAAAATGGATAACCAACAAGGACCTACTGTGTGGCACAGGGAGCTTTGCCTCCTGTCATGTGGCAGCCTGGATGGGAGGGGAGTTTGGGGGAGAATGGAGACACATATAGGTACGGCTAAGTCACTTTACTGCGTACCT